TTATGACAAATTTCAATCACATTTATTTTCTATTAAATGAGTTTTACCAATTAAGCATTATAATTTCAAATCAGTTACAAAATCTTTTTACCTTCCCTTCATTTTTATATTTTCATAGAATTCCCATATATAAATATATTTTCTCATTTCTGTCAAAACCTCATTTACATGTTTATTCTTTTTAATTATTCTTGATTTTTTTTTTTGAGTTGTAGGTGCTTGGATTTTCGTATGCCAAGAATGAGAGGAATGTTGTGCTAAATTTTTCCAAGAACATTTAGGTTCAAAGGTGTATTTGTAATCTTTTTTCTTTTGTTATTATACTATTACTTATTCTCTCTTTTTTTTTTCTTGATTTGTTATTATTTTAACTTTGAATTGTAGGAGCTTGCATTTTCTTGTGACAAGAATGAAGGGGAACATTGTGCTAAAAATTTTCCAAGAAAGTTAAGGTCCGAATGCTAAATTTTTTCCAAAAAATTTAAGGTCCGAAGGTGTATTTGTAATCTTTTTTTTTTTGCTATTATATTATTTATGTTGATCTCTTCTTCTTTCTTTTTCTTGATTTGTTGATATTTTAACCTTTCGAAGACTTATGTATTTTATTAGGACATTTCAATATGAATGAAGAATTTAGAACACTTGGAAAAGTTTCCAATTTTATTTCTCGAACGAGAGACCCATATTGTAATGAACTTTCACTACTTGAAAAGTAAGAATATAATTATTGTTGCTCTTGATTTCTCACATAAAATACTAATTTTGTCATCCAAAATATGAGAAATATAGTTACTCACAACTCTAGAAGCATCTACATTCTTTTATAAAAGTGCTTACAAATTACTACTAACAACATACTTCTTCTTTTTTTTGTAAATATACCTCATGTGAATCATACATAAAATATAGACAATACTTTTTTTATCTTTAGGAAAATAAACAAAACCCCAATTAAATCTAGCAGCCTACGTTGCAGTACCCCTCAATTAATAATGCGAGTTTATTTACGGTAAAAACTCAATTAGGCATAATTAATGCCCTTAATACTATTTATTTATAATTATCCAAATTCGTTATTTACTTCAATTTTATGTTACTATTCTTTTTTATTACTACAAGTACTAAAAAGGAAGTCATTTTTACCGTGTAACATTCTTTCTTTTCCATTTCCAAGCTTTCTTTTCAATTCTTCATTATTATTAATGTGCTCATTCATTCAGGGGCGAATTTATGTACTAATTTTGGGTCACCCGAACTCGTGGTCATCCGACTAAACTCGATATATTACTTCTATAATTATTAAAGAATATATTAAATTAAAACTTGTTGAACCCGTTCTCAAAATGGCTGGATGGTTCACTGGTACTACTGCAAGATTTCAACTCACAGGTCGCAGGTTCGATCCTAGGCAGCCCCAATTTGCTTCAATTTATTTTTATTAACTAAAAACACATTCATTAAAAAAAAAAAAAAGAAGCTAAATTCTGAAAGTTTAAAAGTCAAAAGACTTCAAAAGTTTCCTTCCCACACACTTTTCAAGTTCCAAGTTGCAACAATATTTTTCTTCTCTCTTCAAATTTGTTTTCTATTTTCCACACAAAGAAGAAGCTTCAAGTCTCCAACTTCAAGTCAAGAATTTAGAGAAATCATCATTGTCAAAGTTTAAGGTAATTTTAGTTTATGATTTCTCTTTTTAATAAACAAACTAACAAGATAAATAAATAAACAAATATATATATATATATATATATATATCACTTTAATTTTAGGGTTTTCATATAAAAAAATCTTGTCATTACTTATAATAGGAAATCATCAATAGCTAAAGAATTGATTATCTCAAACTTACATATTTTGCGGATGTAACTTGTAAGGAATGTGTTTCATATTATATTATCAATTTTGAAAGGTGTGATTCCTTTTTTTTTTTAATGTGAAAGGGGTGTGATTCCCTTGGTGTGATTCCTCTATTTTAGTTAGATTTGCAAGGATTGTGATTCCTCTATTTTATTTGAACTTGCAAGGGTGTGATTCCCTTATTTTTTATTGTGAAAGATATGCGATTCTCTTATTTTATTTTAAATTTGCTAGTTAAATTTGTGACTAAGTTGAATAGCATTGGTGAAGAATTTTTGAATGGATGTTTAGTTTGTAAGATAGAGCGGAAGATATTTGAAAATGTAAGTAATGATGCTATTATAGATCGTTTTCAAAATATGAAGTCTCGTCGAGTACAATTGTAAACTGATGATATTTTTTGTGGTAATGTAATTTTTATGTATTGCTCGCTTAGTTATTGTTATTATAATTTTTTTGATATTATCTTTAAAGCAATGGTGCACCCGTTTTCTTAAAATCCTGAATTCGCCTCTGCCTTCATTTGAAACTCTTTTTCCTCAAAATAAGTTATTTCTTAGGTTCTTTTTTGTTTGTTTTTCTTTTGCCACAATTATTCATTTTATATTGTATTTTGGTGCAGAATTTTTTTTGTTAGGAAATCAAGTAGAATTTTCCCTTACTTGTGAGAGTATTTGTCCAAATTCAAGCTTGAAAAACATGTCATCATTAGTAATATATCATTGTTTGCTACTCTTATTATTTATTGCAAGTTTGTATATAGTCATACTATGAATTTCAACTTAATATTTCTTTAAGGAAAATGCCTTATTATAAATCGTAGGAATAATTATGTTAATTTCATATTGAATTTTGGTAATTCTTATAACTTTGTAGAATATATTATCATTAGTGTTATATCAAAATTTTGTTATTTTTTCATTTATTGCAAACTTGTACATAATTATAGTGTAGTTTGAAATGTAATAATTTTATCCTTTTTCTGGAGTAAATGTCTTATTGTAATTTTAGGAATAATTATATCAAATTCATATTGAGTTATGGTTATTCTTTCATTATATTTATAAATAAATAAAGAAGATTTGTATGATTTTGTCTTTTTTTTTTAAAATGTGGATATTTCTTTTATCTCAAAAAAGGAATGACATGATGCATCTTTTTTATCAGAGAATCATTTATCATTTTTTCCAATATCATATGCAATTTAAAGTTTAATAGAATTCAATACGATGGTTATTAATAGTTATAAGAGGAAAATAACGAGATTTTAGTTGTTTTAATTTCATCCTTCCTTATAGTACTATAAAAGACATTCTTAAGCAAAAGTTCAAAAATAGTAATAATTTAATATCATAATTCATTTTTGAAAACTAACAGTTATTTCATAATTTCACTAATATACTAGCTTTTTTATTCGATTGTCGATATGAGCAGATTTACATTTTCAATATTCTATTTTTTTTACACATCTTAAAATCATATTAGATAGTTTATATAGGATTAAATAAAATCATTTATCTTTTAGATTTATTACCAAATTTTTACGTTATTTTTTTTCATTTCTTATTTAAGTTGATATTATACATTTATTTAAATGAGTAATCTCATTTACTGTCGTCTTACACATTCATTCGATAAAAAAAAACATCTATATAATCTAAAGGATCATGAAAAAGACAATTGTTGTTTCTTATATAGAATTATAATACTAATTAATATTTAATTATATTTATGCTCCCTTCGTCTCATTTTATGTGGCACCCTTTGACTTGATACGGTGTTTAAGAAAAAAAAAAGACTTTTAAAAGTTGTGGTAAATTCTATTTAATTATGTATAATAACATTTTTTTTAGGATTTACTATGAAGAAAAATGTGTAAATGAAACAGAGGAGTATGATTTTTAGGACAGCGCAAAGCGCGGCCAATTACTCTAGTTAGTAAAATGTTTGGACTTTTTTCATGTGAGAAACCCATCCTCATTGAAAAAGGAAATTAATACATTTTAGCTCAACTTTTAATTAATTAATGTCAAGTTTGATAAAAATAAATAAAAAACAATCGTAGACAATCTCTAATTATTAGAATTTTACAATATGCATATATAATGGGTTATATGAATTTTGAGTTTGGCCTTTTTTTTTCTTCTTGTGATTCTGAGTCCTCTACTTTATTTTTATTTTTATATTAATAATTAAATATTTTTTACTCGACTCATATATCGAGTTGGACCAGTCCAATCTTGATTAAGCCTCACGAGTCGACGAGCTTATTTAAGTTAGGCTAAACAATCTCGTTCTTAAATGAATTTTTAATTTTTTCAGCTCAATCCTATCAAATCGCAGATTAGGTTGGATTTGGGTGAAGCAATGGACCAAGTCCAAACTAACAGCTCCAAAATCTACGAGGTTTAGAAATGGAAAATCTTCTTAGATAACTGTACAGAAGACCAAAAAAAATCAGCAAAAATGGCCGCATGCATATATAATGAATTATATGTTATGTATCGATATTGTATAATAGTTATTTAATGTATTAGTATTGGATAATGGCATATAGTTATGTATTTATGATGTAAAACTATGTATTATATATATACTAGATAGGTGTGGCCCATGCCAATATTTTATATTGGATAAATTAAACAAAATTACTATTGAATTAAATTACTTATACTAAAAATACCTCACTTAAAAAAATAAACCTTTTATTACTAAAACATGGCCATTCAGCCTTTTATATCCCCAAAAATATAGTCGACGCAACAAAATCACCGCATCAGATATCGTACTTTATAGAAGTGTATTTAGCTCACATGGCTAATAATGACAAATCAAATTTAAGTTGTAACAATTTAGCCAAAGTACTACTCCAACCCTTAATTAAGGAGAGAAATATTTGTTTGAAATTAAAGTAGCACAACTATGAACATTTTTGTCGAACAAGTACTGGAGAATGATTTTATAAGTTATACAGACCTTTCATACATCAAAAATAAGATAACAATAATGACTAATAAAACAGTATCTTCCAAGCTTAGACATAGCTAACTTGAGAATTGAACTCAATCGGTTGTCTATTATATCCATGTAGATCAACTCCTTCTGACTTATATTATTAGTGTACCTTGAAATGAAAAGTAGAATGAGATAGAAGCAGCACAATTATTTTTCAATCTGTAGATGTAAGAATAGCATAAAATGAACAACATACTACATTTCTCTAATTCTGCTTTGTTATGATGTTGTACACTATAATAGACATTTATCAATAGGAAGAATAGGAACGGAGTTTGTTTTTGCTAACTAACTTCATTCACCATAGACTATTTTTTGTTTCTCCTTCGTCTTGAAAGTTTAAAGCAGCAAGTGCTTTTTGCTTTTAGACAACCTGAGAAAATAAAAAATGTGCTTTTATCTCATTATAATCCTCACATATTAGACATTCACTACAACAAAAACAGATAAATATACACATTCATGGAGTGCTAAAGCTTTTACCGACATTAATTAATTGTCATTGGATCTAATGTTGCTATAGGCTTTAGGAACATTTACAAAAAGTGCTAAGTGCCGCTAAAAATACATATTTAGTGGTGATTAAGCTATTGCGGTTAATTAATTGCACTAAAGATCATTTGATTTTCTTCTCATATTCACATGTATTTGGCTACCAATGCTAATAACAATAGCCCTTGACCTTTTTCTTTCTATTTTCTTTACTTGCCGTGCATCGCTCTTCTGGTTGCATCTCAGGAAGCAGTTGGTTGCAATTCCTTACCTTATCTACAAAAATTGTTTACTTGAACCTACTTTTTCCTAAGACTCAACAGAAGGGATCAAATTCAATATGCTATGGGAAATAATAAGAATGGAGGGGGGGGGGGGATTCTTCTGAGT